ATGATGTGTGATGAATGGGTGAGTGACTGAATGAATGAATGGGTGAGTGAATGAGAGAGTTGCTTAATGAACGTCTGGTCACCATCTTCATCAACGTCGTCATTGTCATTGTTATCTTTACCCCGATAGTTATCATACTCATTACCATTTTTGTTATCACCCTCGCCATCATCACCACCACCATAACCTTAAACCACCACCATCACCATCATCCCTGGACCCCATTACTCGCACACAGTCATCAGGTTCGTCTGATCAGTGCCACATTTGTAAGGAAGTGTTCGATGACCTCCAGAATTTGGTAAAAGACAAATCGACACAGACTTTATTGAACGACCTGGTGAAGAAACACATCTGTTCTTTGCTTGGAAACTACAGTAGACATGTTGGTGTTTGTTTGTTTGTTTATTTGTATGGTTGGTTGGTTGGTCTGTGATTGGCTGGTTGGTTGGTTGGTCTGTGATTGGTTGGTTGATCGGTTGGTTGGTTGGTTGCTAGTTTTAAAAATATAAATCTCAATTAATGATAACGACAAAGATGATAACAAATGGAGATGATTATTTTCATGATGTGCTTATTTAACAGTGTGAGATCATTGTTGACGACTACTCAACATTTTTGTATGAGTTTCTGGTTAATGAGCTGGTTAGTTGTTGTTGCTAATGTTATTGTTGTCGTCGTAGTTGTTGCTCAAGTCTTTTGCTAATGTTTTTTATTTTGTGGTTGCAATTTTTTTGATGTTGTTGTTGTTGATGATGTTATTTGCAATGGTTTGTATGTCTGTGTTATTGCTTTTTGTGACGTTTCACCATGAACATTTTATTGAATCAGCTATGACACCAACTACGAATTCTACAACTATGACAACAACAAATAACCGCAGGACTCATCAACAAGATGTCATTTCTTTGGATTCTGCAGCTCTAACAATGCCAACAACAACATCAAAGAAGATAATTCACTCAAGTTTCTGCCATATGCCATCATCAGCCAGGGCCTACAACAGCAGCAGCAGAAGAAGCTACCGCAACAGCAGCCAGCCAAAGTCGCAGACAGCACTTGTGAGATATGTAAATACATCATTGATGAGATTAAGAAATACATTGGAGAGAATGCTACCAAGGTGTGAATAGATTTTTTTTCGGCTGCTTTTGTTTTCTTCTAAAATATTTATGTAAATGGTGCAAATTGCATACCATTTTACCATTTATGGTAGAGGGAGAGAGAGAGAGAGAGAGAGAGAGAGAGAGAGAGAAATATGAGAAAGAAGGGGAAAAAGAAAGAAAGAGATTATTGTATTCTTATACTCATTCTTTCTTCTTTTTATTTGTTATTATCTACACAAACAAATATACATACATACGTCACGCACATCCACACACACAAACACGCACACAGGAAAGAATAATTGACACATTGGACAAGATCTGCTACAAAATCCCTGAGAAGTACGAAAGGAACTGCCTGGATTTTGTAGATAAGTATGGAAAACCACTCGTAGACCTACTGATTAAAGGAATCAGCTCTCACGACGTGTGTGAGTCCATCAATCTCTGCCTGCAGGGACAGCATACGTTTCCAATGGCGAATTTGTTGCAAGGCCACTTGTTGCAACCACCAAAGCAGTCACAGCAGCCACAGCAACCACAGCAGCCGGCCAAGATCACTGACACCTCCTGTGAGATATGCAAATATATCATTGATGAGATTAAGAAGTATATTGGAAGCAACACTACTGAGGTTGGTTTGCTACTGTCATTGTATGGGTGAATACTTTACACAATATTTGAACAAGGGAGGAGAGAGGAGAGATAGATATAAAGAGAGAGAGAGATAGAAAGAGAGAGAGAGAAAGAGAGAGAGAAAAAAGATAGATTATTGTAAGTACACATTCACACATATATTTATAAGAAATACACAATAATACGAACATGTACAGTTGTACAAGTATAAACAAATACATTTTAAAAATCTTTGTCTGTATTTATATATGCATGTACTGCACAGTATATACAAACATTTTTAAATACAGGAGAAAATCATAGAAGCGTTGGACAGGATCTGTGGCAAAGTCCCAAAGTCTTATGAGAAGAAATGTCTGGAGTGGGTGAAAAATTACGGAAAGATGTTGGTGGAACTTTTACTGAAGGGTTTGAGCTCTGAAGATGTCTGCCAGTCGATCAATCTGTGTCTGCAGAATGACGTTGCTCCTAACATTCCAAGCCCCGGTTTGTTTTTTACTCAGTCATGATGATGAGGATGTCTTATGATGATGACGTTGATGAAGATGATGATAATAATATTATTATATTATCTTATGAAGATGACGTTAATAATAATAATATTATTATTATTATTATGACGTTAATGAAGATGATGATAATTAGTATGGTGACGACGATGATGATAAGGGTGATAGTATGCATGCACGTATGATTATTATAAATATGTACCCATGCAAAATTGCAAAGCAGCCAATGGCAAATGCGAGGTGTGTGAGATAGCCTTACAGTATATTGACTCACTCTTGGACCAGAATGCCACCATAGCCAGGGTCGAGACCATCGTTAAGAGGGTATGCACCCTGATGCCCAGTAGCATGAGGGCCGAGGTATTTTGTTGTCGTTGTTGTCGCTATTCACACAATTTCAAACCATTTTATTGATTTTTCTGACTTGTAATTCCATAAAAAGCCCGTTTCATTTCATGCGTTTCGTCACATTCACGAGCGGTCATTGTGATTGTTTGAATTATTATTATTACTATTATTATTATTGCAGTGCTCACAAATTGTTGACGAATTTGGAGGTCTGATCATTCATTACGTAGCCAACCATCTCAATCCTCATCAAATTTGCAAGGTTCATTTTTAGTTGCTCTTCCATAATTATAAATAATAATTTATATTATATATATATAATTATTGTTATTATAGTCATCATCATTATCATCATCATCATCATTGTTAGGCTTTGAACCTGTGTGAGAGCCGCGCCAAACTCTACTACAAGTGCATCGGCGGTCCGAGCTATTGGTGTGCTAGCAAGGAGAACGCTAAGCTGTGCCAGGTTGGTTGGTTGGTCGAGTAGAGGCTAATTGACTGCTTGTTAACTGGTTGATACTGATTGATTGGCATTAGTTGATTTCAGTTGGCTTGATTGATCGATTGACTGACGTTGGCTGGTCATTAAACTGATTGAAAACTATCTAAATATCTCAACAGGCTGAAGACCATTGCCAGAAGCACGTTTGGAATAAAGATGATAAATAGATTAGTTTGATTGCAATCAATCAAATGCCTGCTTGTTCATTCATTCATTCACTTATTTGTCATTCTTTCATTCATACGTTCGTTCATTCAACCATTAACTCTTTTTTTCATCTATCTGATTAAACTGATTGATATAATCGATTTGTACTGAATGTTGGACAGCTTTGGTTGTTTGGTAAGAGAAATACTCGAACGATGACAATCTATTTACACAATGTTTTAAGATTTAACTATTAAGTTGTGTGTGTGTGTGTGTGTGTTTGTAAAAATACAATGTGGTTTGTTGCCGATTTTTAAAATGATTATCTGTAAACATTGAGATATGACAAAGACGATGTAATTGATTACATAAAACAATATGTATTACTGTATATATGTATGCGTTACATGCATGCACGCACCATATTACTCTCCTCTACATTCTGTTTCTGACCTTTATTCATTTTCTGAATGTTTTCTAGGTTACCACGGAAATTATGTTTTTTTTTTTAAGTTTTTATTTTTTACCTGGAGAATAAAAGTTACATTATATTTTAAATCAAATGCATATGTACATTCAGTGGTATCTACGTTAAAAACTTGATCGCAGATGGCGACAATAATATTTATATCTACCCATTATTTATAACAATATTCAATATTATTAGATATATTTATTATTTTTGGCAACATTACGAGCCGAACTTGAAGGGGATCAACGTTATAGTTCGCGATTATCGTATCGATTGTATTTGTATTATATACCGGTACGTACGTGCGTTTGTATATATACAATGCGTATATATACTGTTATGCACACAGGGTGTTTATGTATGCATGTATGTATGTATTCAAAGAAGTATGCATGTACGTATGACGTGTGTATACCTAAGCTTTGTATTTCCGTACAAGTTGTGCGAAACTCTTGGAAAAAAATAAGGAAGACAAACGAGTATTATTCCCCATGATTAATTTCACCATTAATATTGTTATTTATGTGTTGTTAATATTATGTATTATGTTACCATTATTATGTGTGTGTAGGTGTATGTATGTGTTTGTGTGCTTATGCATATAAATAATATACTACATAAAATGAAGTTGAACTAAAAGATGATGACGTCTATGATTGTTTAAAAAAGAAAATGGAAGTGAACAAAAAATCATGTATATATGTACGTTCTCTGTGTACGTCAGTTTTTTTTTTACAATACAATTTCCATGAAATATATATATATATGTGTATATGTGTGTGTGTGAAAGAGAGAGAGAGAAAGAGAGAGAGAGTATGTGTGGTGTGTGTGTGTGGTGTGTGTGTAATCTTTGTTCACTCGACTCCATGAGCAAATATCATAACGAGGCCCGGTTCAACCAGCATATCACTGTTCATGTGCTCGTTCTCACAGGACATAACCAGGACAGCCTGTTTGCCTGAATTCGTTTCAGTGAGTTTTAGTTGTCATTTGTTTAAGTATAAGTTTCGTGTCATTCGTATTTATACATAAATTTATGAATAATTATTTCATAATTTATACATCTATACTCTTTAGAAATGTTACAAGATGAAATTAAGATGTACCACACCGGGTATGCGCTTGCAGACGTAATTTTCGTACATCCTCCTGTTTAGCTGCCTGGCTTCTAAAGTCTTCAAGCCAATCGGCCATCTTCGTTCGTGGGAGTTCTCGATTAAATCGTTAACGATACTCGGTGGGCAGCCGCATTCGATGAGGGCTCGTTTGATGACGGTCTGCAGGACGGCATCCGGGGTCGATATCATGCCGCCCCAGCGAGTCACCCTGCTCATCTGTAGGCTATCCACCCATCTTCGTATCTCGTCCAATTCTTGTTGGGGGTGTGTTTCATGGCCGCCAGTTAGATGGCGCTGCATTCTAAAGTTCTCCTAATTTATTGTGTACAAGATAGTCGATTAGCGTTTTATTTCTGTTCCAACAACTGTTGATCAGTCACAGTCTATGTTCTAATATTCTAATATTGCTAATCAAAATATAAAAAGATGGAAATGGATAGATGAAATAGATAGTAGACAGAATAAGAACAGACCCTTAATGTTTGCAGTTCTCTCTTCAACTCAGTCTGATGTTCTCTTAAATCATTGGCCTCTTTTTGAAGAATGGATATTTGCTGCTGCTGCTGCTGAACCAGATTGCGAAGGTCCTTGATGCAGTTGTGTTCCTGGTGGAGTGAACATTTTCATTTTGAAAATATCAAAGCAATATTTCATAAAGTTAGTTATGCGTTTTTATGTAGCCAAAAAAATAGTTTAAATGTTCAATTATTATATAGCGATATTTAACACCAAATTTTTTTGTTACAAAGAGTTGAAGCGCTAACAGCTAGCTCGTCTTTTGCCATTGTCAATCCACACCCTTTGTCACATGTCACAGGTTTTTTTGGATTAAAATCGCATTCCTAGAGAGCCAAAAATATAAATAAACAAAAATATTTATTAAAGTCAGTTGAGTACTGCTTAAAAGAATGGATTAGAATGGGGGATAAAAATGATTTTGTATGCAAATGATATGCAAATATGGATTTATAAGATAAAAAATAAAACACCAGTAAGTGTGCCGGTAGTGAATCGAGTTTCAACATCTCAGGACAGCCCAATTCAGAATTGTTGCAAGTTATTTTTAATCTGGAAAGAAGATTCCGTAGAATTCGAGGTACAGATTTTAAATTATTCTTCCTCAAGACACCCCTGTCAATAGGGCATGTATTTTGCCTGGCTAGCCACCCATTTATACAACTTAAACAGAATGCATGTTCACAATGTGAGGCCTTGGAAATTAACAATTTTGAAATAAAATTTAATTAAAATGTAAATTTATAAAATAATATTATCAGATTTATAAATTAATTTTATCAGTAAACACACACACATTCTCTCTCCCTCTCTCTCTCTCACACACACAATATATTCTTAATATTTACATTAATTTATGATCAACCATAGATGTAGTATTGTAATTAATCATATGAAATAACATGTTATCAGAAGAAATTATTAAAAAAGACTACAGACACAAGATGACATGCTGAGATAAATAACATTAGAGATAGATCATCATCAAAAAGTAAAATCAAATATTTAAATATATAGAGGAAAAAAATATAAGAAATGTATTGGACCTTGCCATCTCTTATCTTTTACAACATTTAAAAACAAAAGTTCCATCTTTATAAAAATCAAACAGAGACAACGAAACAAATTCATGACCACACCTCAATACATCAAATTACAAACAATAAATATAATTATAATTATTATATATTTAATTATTTAATTATAAGCATAAACAAAAAAATTATAAACTATACTATACAATACATTGATCATCATTATTATATTATAATACAAACAAAGACCCTACACATGCATTACCTGGACAGGGTTTTCCAGCACCCCACTACAAATCGGACATAGTAGCTCTTCATCGACTTCACCGTCAAATCTACAAACATCATACCCCATTGTACTGGAATGAAAAAAACCGTCACTGATAGTGTAAGTCGGAGCTAGTGTTGAAGTCAGTGTAAAAAACTTGCAGTAAGACTTTTAGTAGGTAGGTGGTCAGTCCTCCATAACCACAAGACAATTTAGTTGAAAAATCTAGAACGTTTAAAACTAGAATTACAACAAAAATGCCCTTTTCAAAATTTCTTTCACATTCGTATATAATTTAGCATTTAATAATATTCTATTTATAAGCATTCCTAAATACAAACGTTTAATCACAGAAATCAGTTCATAACCATATTAAAACTAAAAGTGAACTAAATATTTTGAGAAATGTTATAGAGATGTTCAAGTTATAATTGATTACCGAACGAAGGTTTCGAGTAATGGACAAGTTGTTAAGTTTTTTGTTTAATACGCTTTTACTTGCCCTCTTTTAGATATTGTTTCGAAGTAGCTAGCACAGTTGATATATAAAATAATTTTAAATCAACTTTATTTTTCGTAGTAAACTTTTAATTATATACCTTTATTCAATGAATATGTTTTCAATATACAATTCATCTTACAAATGTGTATTTCTATCTTTCCCTCTTTCTTTTCTTTAATATCCAGAATTCGACACACACCACACACACACACAATAATACACACACTCACAATAACACACATACAATAACGCACACACGCACACACAATAACATACACACACACACACAACAACACCACACAAAAACACACACACACAAAAACACACACACAATAACATACAGTTAATCAATACGTTATAGAACATCAAATTTTATAACGCTACTTTTTTAAGATTTTTTCCAACAGTTTTAACATGCCTTTCTTCTGGCAATAAAAAAAAATATTGCTCAAGCTGTTTGTGTAAGCAGTTGTTGCTTTTTTCAATAAGACGGCTTAAATTCAATTTGATTAAATGTCAATATTATTGCAAAGCACACACATACATACAAACAAACAAACTTACAAACATACACACATACATACATACACATACATACATACACATACAAACAAACAAACTTACAGACATACACACATACATATATATATACAAACTTATATACATATACACATACATACATGGATACACGTACAAACAAACTTATATACATACATGGATACACATACAAACAAACATGCATACATACATACACATACAAACAAACAAACTTACAGACATACATATATACATAATCTCTAAATCTATAACATTGACAAGGAGAGAATCTCAATGAAATAAACTAAATTAATAATAATAAAATAATTAATAAACAAGCATACAGCACAATGCAATGACATAAAACTAGTTTCTGGCAACTTCAATATGAACCTATAAATAAATAGACAATGTTTAGCTAAATAAACAAACAAATACACACACACATACACACAAACAAACACACACATATATAGTTGTATGTACGTGTTATACTTACATATTATATTATATCTCTATAATAAATAATAAATAGATACACACATTCCAAACTTATATAATACCGATCGAGCAATTCTGTCTTCAAAGTATTTATTGTTAATTAATGAAGTATTAATCGTATAAAAATGAATTATCATTAACAATTAATTAATTGGTTAATTGTTTAAGTAATTAGTTAATAAAATCTTTGACGAGTTCGTTCGTTTGGGTAGAATGATTTTTAAGTTAAAAGCGTTAGTGGCTGGTTTTCTCTCTTACCAACTTTATCGATTCTTCATTTCCAGTGAAATCGATTACAAAGGCTAGTTTATTATTATTATTGTTGTTGCTATTATTATCAGATTATTATTATTATCAGATGTGGATGGCGTCGAGGGGTATTTCGGTTTCATCATAGGTAGCCAAACGGCAACACCCGATCTCGGGGAAAATGCCGTCTAAACGTGTGTTGTTGTTGTATTATTATCATTATTATTATTAGTAGTAGTAGTAGTAGCAGCAGCAGCAGTAGTAGTAGTAGAGTTGTAGCAATTTAGTAGTAGTAGTAGAAGTAGTAGTAGTAGCAGCAGAGTAGTAGTAGTAGTAGTATTTGCTGTAGTAGTAGTAGCAGTAGTAGTAGTAGTAGTAGTAGTAGTAGTAGTAGTAGTAGTAGTAGTAGTAGTAGTAGTAGTAGTAGTAGTAGTATTTCATTCTGGTTGTGCATGCGATCCAATCGGTATTGTTTTAGTTTAGGTCAACACAAAATTATATAATTTATATCTTCTGATCAAGCAATAATTCATAATTTAATTTGTAATAGAAATAATTCTAATAATTTTCACTCATTCATTCATTTGTTCGTACGTTCTCTCGTTCGTTTTTTCGTTTCTTCGTTCATTCCTTCATTCCTCTTACTATCCATCCTTTCTCTTAATTCCAAAACATTCATAGAACTTCTTAAGAATAGGAATGTACTAATTACCGGCGGTTCGTCGGGAATCGGCGAAGAGATGGCCAAATACTGTGCTGAGGCAGGGTCCAACGTGGTGATAGTTGCCCGCAGAAAATCTCTCCTTGATAAGGTTACACAGCTGATTAACGTAATTAACATAATTTATTTAAATTGCTTCAATTAGTTAAAACAGCTAGTGTTAAAAATGTAAGGCTGTGTATCCTGGTGTGTGTTGACTCATTCATTCATTCATTCGTTCATTCATTCATTCATTCATTCATTCATTCATTCATTCATTCATTCATTCATTCATTCATTCATTCACTCACTCACTCACTCATTCATTCATTCATTCATTCATTCATTCACTCAGGTTGCCACTGACTTGCGCGGTCTGTCGCCTTCACCAACCAGCAAGATGCACTACATTGTGGCTGACTTCAGCGACCCAGACGTCAGCGAATCAGTCATTAACGTAAGGTGCATGCGTTGTGAACGTGACGATGACGACGACGACGACGATGATGATGGCTATTATGATGATAAAATTAATGATAATAATGATCAACTTGAAAAAAATAATGACGACGTCGAAAATAAATGATGGTGTCACGAATGAGCAAAGACAAAAGACACGATATTTTATATCTATCCCCCAATACAGGAAGCAATACAATTTTTAGGATCTTTGGACTACATCATCATTAATCATGCAATTATCCCCTCTTCACCAAAGGACGTATTGAAATGGTCTGGAAATGAACACCAACGTAATCAACTTGCCTCAGCGATGAACATTAATTTCAATTCCTACGTTACTCTGGCCACACATGCTCTTCCCTATCTGCACATCTCCAACGGAAGTCTTCTTGTCGTTTCGTCTGCTATGAGTTTGTTCTTTTTGGCGGGAAATTTAAATTATGTATTATCTCGTGTGATTAACGTCGTTCTTTTCACAATGCTATCATAGCGTAACGCATGCATATTTAATATTGAAAGTAATTGTTTTAGAAAAACAAACAGGCACAAAACAGTAACAAAACCAAATCACACCAGTTTATTGCAAAGTAAATGAAATAACAAATTAATTGAATTATAAAATGAATACACGTCATATGTCAAACAAGATGAATAATAAAAAAATCTTTTAAACAGTTGACTTGCCAGCCTTCTACCTGCCATATTCGACCAGCAAGGCGGCCATGAGCGCTTTCTTTACTGGAATCAGACAGGAAATTATCCAGACGAAAACCAACATATCCGTTACCATTGTTCATCTTGGGTTGATTGGTTGGAGTTTTATATTTGAAATTCGTTTAATAAACAGGCCAAATACTAATGAATTATTTTTATTATTATATAAATAAAAGCCAAATTATATAAAGGACATACTTACCACCTGATTACTTCAAATTAATATTTTTACATTAGAAAACCAAGCTGGTTTAGCTGGGTGCCAGCAAATTTCAGCAAGTAGAGGAGTTGACGTCAGAGCAATCTTATCGATGTATGCTGCCACTGATCAGAAAGAAACGGGACGAGAAATTATTTGGGCGGCCGCCAGAAAAGATGCATATTTTTATTATCCTAGATGTCAGGGCCTTTGGATACTTCGCGTACTAAGGAATTTGTTTTCTGATCCGGATCGTGCTGTAAATACTCTTGAAAGCTCCGTTTTGTACATTCTGGATATTAAGAAAAAATATTTTTGGTAATTATCTTTCAAATGGCATTGTAAAACTGATCCAAACCTCAAAAGTTATACAGTTTGAGAGTTCTTTTTGTTGTTAAATGTAAATTGGTTATCATCTACATTTTTTAGCAATAAGTGTCTCTATATAAAATTTAAATAGTTAGAATTTTCCACCTGATATGAAATATCCTGACAATTTATTTGTGTATGTTACTATAGTTGGGTTTTTTTTAAATAGCATCGACTTTGGAGAAAAGGTTACACACACCCTAGGTTCAAAACAACCAACGACGTACAAACTTCATGTATGAATAAGTGCTAAACGACACATCAGATCAGACATGCCGTATTCGAATCCAGTCCATATATATATAGAATATGTATATGCCTATGCGTTATTAGAACTTTAGAAGCAGGTCGTAAAACATGTGCTGCTAAAGGGTAATTAGCATATAACATATAAATGCCTTTTAGCTAAAAGAATCTATTTTTGATACACCGCCCCAATGCCATTTCGTGTTGAATTCCTTTTTAAATAGGTTCACGAATCTACCTTGACTAACGTAATTTTAATGACAATAAAGATGGCTTGTAGTTCTGTAACCTTCGAATAAAATTGCAATTACTTAAATAAAATTATTGAAATCAATCAAAATTTAATTTAGGCATAGACTTGTTTTGAAAAAAAATTTTAAAAAATGAACACGATCATTGACAATCCGTCTACTACTAAGTCCAATAAATTCGAACTCCACAAATTAGTATTTCTGAGTGGAGACAAATTTTTTGAGGAGAAATTATTGACGAAACAAAACATTGATGAACAAGACGCGCACGGTTTGCTTTCTATTTCAAATTAAATTTTGAATTGCTAGAAAGACTGTAGAACTGTAGATTGCTGTTGTTTTTCAAGTGCTTCCATATTTGTTACCATTATTAGTCATTTTTTACTCTGGTTACAATTACAATTAAATAATTCAATTTAATTAATGTATAAGATATTTAAAATTTTTAATGTTTTAGTATTAAGTATTAATTAACTAATTATTTTATTATTATTAAACTATTTATTACATTCCTAATCAGTTAGATTATTAAAAAATTTTTTTATTATTTTTTATTTAAGGAAATACCCCTCTTCATTTAGCAATAATGCTTGGAAGGACAGGTAACTTTATATATTGTTTCCTATATTTATTCATGAATATTCATACACTCATTAACATAATTTATTCATCATTTACCCCAATACCCAACCTTTTTTTAGAATGTGCTAGATCACTGATATTTAGTGAAGCTAACGTCAGACTGAAAAATAAATTAGGCTGGACCCCTCTAGCTGAAGCTATTAGTTATGGCAACAGATATATTGGTTATTATTAATGTTTATTATTATTATTGTTGTTGTTGTTGTTATTATTATTGTTATTATTGTTGTTGTTTGAATGTAAAAAAAATATAAATGTATATAGAAAATTTTGAAATATTTTATGTAAATAAAAGAAAAAATAATTTTTTTTCCATAGTAAAGTTGCTCGTGTTTCGAATGCAGCGGACGCATAATGAGGAAAGAGAGAAGAGGATCCCTGTTTTGTCCAGTAAGTTTATGGCCGTCCGGGACTTCCAGCTGACACTAAAATGGGATTTCCATTCCTGGGGTTAGCTGCAATGATAATGATGATGGGGCTGATGATGTTAATGATGATTATGATGATGATTATGAGGATGATGATGTTGTTGATGATTATGATGATGATTAATTTAATTTTAGAATCATATGAAAGTTTTTTAAAGATTGAAGTATAATTTGAAATTATTTTTTATAAATTGGATAAATCTTTTCTAGTGCCATTTCTCTCGAGGTATCTACCTTCTGATGTTTGTAAGGTCTACAAGAAAGGAAACAAGATTAGGTTAGAGTACCTGTCTTCCTTTTTTTTGTATTTTGTCTGCCTGCTTGTCTGTCTGTCTGTCTGTCTGTCTTCTTGCCCATCTGATTGTCTGTTTAGGTGACTGATTAATGGTTGATGGTTTGATTGTTTGGTAGAATGATGGCTTTATGATTGATCAATTGATTAGTCAGTCGATTGATTGATTGATTGATTGATTGATTGATCAATAAATCAACCTAGACTGGACTCAACACTGCTAGACTTTCGTGAGTCAATGTGGCAGAAGGGTGACGTCAGTTTCATCTTCAACGCGACAAAAAACCAGCCCCTACTCATGCTGGACAACGTGCAGCAAGTCGTCCATGCCGTCAAGACGCAATACAATGCCAGCAGGTCATCGTCTTCGTCGTTCGTCAATGACGCCGGCTATGACGTCAACAGCGACCTTCATGGTCAAGATTATGACACTGCATACCTGATGGCTCACAGTATTATTTCAGCATCCCTCGACTCAAACAATGTCATCTTCACGAGAACTAAATCTGGATATTTCTCTTCAGCTGACAAGAAGGTGCTTACGTATAAACGTACACACACACACACACACACACACACATACATACACATGCAAACATAGATGTGATTAATTTTATTAATAATCGAATGTTTATTATTGTCGTAGGAGACTGTTGGAAAGTTTCAGGCTGATTCTTACACTGTCAATAACCTTATACTGCACCAAAAGAAAAGGTTATTATTTATACGTTTGTGTATGTGTGTGCGTGTATGTGTATGTGCGTGTATGTGTATGTGCGTGTATGCGTATGTATGTGTATGGGGGATACAATGCATATGATAGGAGGAATCTTTTCAAGTTCATTCATTCCTGCTACTATTTGAAGCACATGTTTTGTACCACCTAATCTCATCGCCACCGTCCTAGTCATCGTCGTCGTCGTCATCATCACCGTTATCATCATCATCATCAACATCATCAACATCATCATCGTCATCATTACCAGGAAGGAACACCTTCCAGTAGAGAAGAGGGAAGATGGAAGGAGTTTCATTAAGAAATTTGGAAATGTGCAAGTGAGTGGGAGCTGACTGGCTTTTAATTCCTCATTAGTGCCTCGTTGGCTGATTGTTCTTTGCTGGTTGATTGATTGATTGTTTGATTGATTGATTGATTGATTGATTGATTGATTGACAAATTGATTGATTGGTTGGTTGATGTTCTATTTTATTGTTGGTTAATTGGTTTTTGGCTGGTAGTTGATTCATTGGTAGTTGCATGTTTGGCAGCTTATTGCGTAACTGACTGTTGTTAGAGGCTTGATGTCATTGGCTAATTTCATTTGACCAATCCAGGACCTATGTTTCGACGACCCACCCCCACCACCAGCCAATAAGATGACTTGGTTTGAATACATCAATGCTCCCGTTGGCCAATACAATCTAGGTCGACCAATGATGTTGAAGGAATCATCTAAGGCCTACAAAGCTTATGTCTCCATGGTGTGGTGTATTTTTTTTCCTATAATTTTGTTGATATTTTTTGATTTTAACTAATTTATTTTATTTCATTTGTTCAGAGTCAAGATTTTCCACTGAGCTTGAATGTGTACGTCTTATGGTTTCTTATTTCACTATTTTATTGAAATAATTTTTATATTTCACGTAAGATTACGAATTAAAGTATTGGATGGGAAGTTAGCTCAGGTGGTAGATGTGTCTTGATTTGAGTTGGTTTTATGACACGTCTACCTGGTTTGAATGCTGACTGAAACTGAGGAATGTTTGTTCGTTTGTTTCATGTGTATGTTGTGCGGTCTGGATGTGCCAAATTTAGTACTGTTGGAGGTTTAATTGCAATGCAGCCATGAATAATAATTAGTTGTTCGTTAATTGATTATAATTACTCATTATGATATGATTTAATATAATCGATTGATTGATTGATTGATTGATTGATTGATTGATTGATTGATTGATTGATTGATTGATAACTAAATGATAAATTTGACTGATTGTTAAGTGTGATGGATTTGCTGGAGCTGATGGCCCCAATGAAACACTTCTCAAAGTTGAGAAACTTCCTGAATACACGTCTACCACCTGGTTTTCCCGTCAAGATAGGTTACTTTCACTTTCGTTTTGTTTTTTGATTTTGATGTTGATGATGTCTGTGGATGATAAGCTAGTTTCACTTTTGTTTTCTTTCTTTATGTTGTGATGTAATGTTGATGATTAACGACCAGTGCTAAAACTTTGTATTTTTTAATATCCCAAATCAACCTACTCCACTTACAGCTTTTTGTATCATTAAAAGCCTTTAGAAAAAACACACACAACAAACCACAAGTAACTCCTCAATCCCATTTTCTCCAATACTCCCACATCCCAGAGATCCCAATCCTGCCGACGATAACAGCAACGGCCATGTTCACGGATTTCGAATGGAACGACAACCTGGCCGATGAGTTGTTCGTATTGCCCAAGCATTACAGGACCGCTTTTATTAATAATTTGTGACAATACATGTCTTGTAAATGGCGTTATCACCCTCTAGCCACGTGATCTGTGTGTGTCTATGTGTCTGTCTGTGTATGTGTGTGTCTGTCTCTGTGTGTGTGCGTGTGTGGAGGGGTGGTGGGCCCAGATTACGTTGCTAAATGAGATGATAATGTCATGATGAGTGAGGTGAGATGTTTATTAATTGATGGAGTCAATCGTCGATGAAGTGATGAATATTAATGAGTTGTTTAATGGTGACTATGCTAATTAGTAGGCTTCGCATGTGTTAATGATATGACAAATATGTTAATTGGATATTAATCTTGTGCTGATTGATGCTACAAACTAGTTAATTAATTATGCACGACTTATATTTAAATTAAATGTCGCATAATAATAATTTCTATGTTAAACACTATTGAACATACACACACACACATAACGCACACACACGTAGACGCATAGAAACACATACACACGTACACATACACACACATTAAATAAATATAATCCGTCCTTTGTTAACGTGTAATTTTTCCGCGGTGGACTTTTTATAGATTTTTCCACATCTCATTTGTATGTGTGTCTGTCTGTGTATGTGTTTTGTTTGAGTGTGTTTTTTTATTGCGTTTGTATTATTTTCTGCTTTTAAAATTCTTCATTTCTTTATAGTTCTCTCTCTTTCTCTATAGTTTTCTTTCTATCTATCTATATCTTTCTTTCTTTCTTTCTGTCTATCTCTTTGTTTTTTATTCATATTTTATAATCTCTCATTTTTCATTTTCTCTCTCTCTCTCTCTCTTTCTCTCTCTCTCTCTCTTTCTCTTTCTTTGAAATCCTTGACAGATATTTTTCTACAATTTATTTTATTTCATATTTTACGTCCATGTATCTATAATATACAAAAACACTTTTTCGAGCTGGAATTTTTTTTGACTTATTGTCCAAAGTATACACGCCAGGAAAAGAACCAATAAAAACATTTACACACGCGCGCGCACACGCACACACACACACACGCAGATACATTCACTATTTATAGATGTCTTTTATACTAAATTTAGAACTTTCAGCAACAAATTTTCAATATATCCCAAATTGTATAAATATTTCTATTATTTATTTACTCATTTATTAATTTATTACAATTTGTTTACTTTATTTGTCTATATATTTTTACTTTTGCAACGAATTTCGAATTGCTATTGTTAATATTATCTTTACATTTTGTCATTTCGGTTTTTTTATTTCCAGACATATCACTATATATATATATATATATATATATATATATATATATATATATATATTCACATTTAGCGTATGTCCATAATTCACTATTTGAGACTTAATAAAATATTATGTTAGAGAGCTGATTATGAAATTGTTACATATATATATTTATATATATGAATGTATTTATAATTATGTTATCAATGTAGTTTTTTTTCTTATTTCTTTTACTCTTTCGTGACACAAATGACACACACAAATACCACACACACACACACACGCACGCAAACACACGCTCAATTAATTATTATAATTAATTAATTAAAATTATTATTTATTTTCTATTGAGATGTTTACTTTCTAAATGCATCTGATTTTGTTTACTTGTGTATTTATATTCTCTTTGTCGATTTTATCACGGTTTTAAGAAATAAATTTTCCAGACAACTATTTAATACATTTATTCATTTAATTAACTAATTAATTAATTAGTTAATTAATTGAGTTGGTTTATACTTAGTTATTGGTTTGGGTCTTTATGCTATATACAGAATCTTTGGTACAATTTTTTCATTTTCATCTCAGGTTACTGATTCCTTGTAGATTTTTTTTTCAAAGAATAAATTAACTTCCCAATTTACAATTAAATTCACTTTTAAATGTTTACGGATTTTCTAATCACTTCTGATCAGATATACAAATTCTCACATTTTCGTAGTTCATTTGTTCGTCTGTCTGATGGGTTTTCGCCGGCGTTATTGTTGAAATGAATGACAATATAAACTGTTACACGATATATATATATATATAGAGAGAGAGAGTGAGAGAGAGAGGGGGGGGGGGAAATAGGTGAATAAAGAGAGAAAGAGAGAGAGAGAGAGAGAAAGAGGTACAGTTAGTCATTGGAATAAAATAGCCAAAAATTAAGATCGTTTCTTCCGATTTCTTCTTCTACTTCTACTACTACTACTGCTACTTCTACTAATAATACTGCCGCTGCTGCTACTACTACTTGTACTACTACTACTACTACTA